TTTCTTTGGCACATCGTTTATTTTCCGCTATCAGACTTTGGGAGCCGTAGTGTTTACCGATTTTGCGTTAAAGGCGTTAACCTGCGTTAATTCGTGACATTTCATGAGTTAGCACAGGTACTGTAGGTACACATCCCGTCAAAGCTCCGGCTAGATACTGTTATGTTTCTGGCTTCTATTGCGCCCATTCCACGTGTATTTGTTCTTGCTGAGATTGCGATTCTCTATTACTACCGCTGGTCCTAACCTTAACACCACCCCATCCAGGTTTTTGAAAACTGACGTCGCATTACGGTCAATCGCTTTCTCGTCCTAATGAGAACAGTTTCTGTTTTCGTTCATGTTTTCTTTCTATTAGACAGATAGGTCAATTGAACCGAATTAAATGCGAAGTGGGGGACCTCGAAGGTTTGCTGATGTCATAAAATTATGCAGTCTCTCTCAGTGATCTCGTTAATTCAACCTCTTTTAGTCTGGATTATTAACTAAAGGGCGAGCGGTAACAATCGGGAGATGGTACCCAAAAAATCCGCCTAACCAAAGCAGCCTGTCTTACGGGACAGGTGGTAAAAGGGGTTTTATGGATAATCGCTGGTCGGGATGTACGATACTAGCCGACGGAAAGCCTTATTTGAACAGATGAATGCTCGAAGGTGGCCCGTTCTCCGTTCCGTTAATAAGAAATGGGTCGCCAAAGGCACTATAATGGTAACGGACGAATGGAAGGCGCATAATCGTCTTCCCTCAGAAAGTTATCTGCATTTCTCTGTTAAGCACTCAGAGAACTTCAAGGACCCTACTACCGGACGGCGCACCAATATCATTGAGGCATACTGGAGTAGACTGAAAAGGAAACTCTACGAGAGAGGCCCTGTATGTGGTCGAGCTGTGTGGGCTCACATAGACGAAGTACAGTATCGTCTTTGGTTTGGCCTCAATGCCATGTCTTTGACAGATGCCTGGGAACTGTTCCTGTACCATTCTGTGCAGACTTATCCTATTTAAAAGTGATTTTGTTTTGTAATAAACCGCCATAATGCGAATGTATGCGGTATATCCAGATGTACGTGCGTAACGATGGGGAAGGTTGGGTAACAGCGACCATCGTCCATGTAACCTCCTGCGATGTTCGTTAGGCCAGCCCATCTTAGGCCGTCGGGGAAAGTCCAAGTAGTGCGTGAAAGTAGGCCTGCAATCGCTGATATAGCTTGAAGGCGTTTGAGTCCACTGTTAAAGGTATTATTTGTAGGTAACGGATTTTTTTGGGTGCCATCTCCCGAGTGTTGCCGGGCGGGCTTGTCTCTTGCCATGCCAATATTTGTAATCGCTAAATCATGTTTCATCATGTTAGACTAACTGCATTGAAAAACTACGTGTGACATGTCATGCCCTGACAGCTACGCCAGAATGTGTGAATTAAACAGGTCGACTTCCGAAGTTCTGGGTCTTGACTGAAGAGTCTCGGTATCATAAATACAGAACACAGTAAAATGTACCGGTTGATGATTGTGTCAGCTTCAGGAAACCTTAGCATTTGGCATTGTTCGAAACCGCCAACCAGGCACAAGCGTCATGCTTACTTCTAAGCATGTCCAGAGTTTTGTAAAAATCCACTGAACTACAGGTTACCTTTACACCAACAAGCGGCTTCTTTCCCCGAAAACCCACCCCTATCACTCGCTTTGAATGAAATGTTGCATAACACTCTCTGAAGGATACATTTCCACCTTTCGTGGATTTATAGTTCCGGGATTTGAGCACAGGTAGTTTACCACGTAGTCACATCTTTCATTCTTAGCATATTATAAGGTATGACGGTCTGAATGAAGAATTGGCAACTGTGCGTTCATATATGGCATTTCTTGAGGGGCACATCTTGTGTCGCCTCTCTGGACGATTGTGTCAATAACATTCTCGATTGTCCAAGCTTGTCTTCTTGCTTCTTGATGTTATCCGGCACTTTTGAAAAGCATATTTTTCCACTACGGTTTTATTGAATTTTGGAAAAACCACCGGTAATGAAATACGCCAGGCAAAGAAATGCAGATGGAAGTGGAGAAACAAATTCTAGCAGAGATGCAAAAAGGTCGAAACAAACTATCGCACAACAAACTAGTAAGCATGACATTCAAAACTCGGGAAAAATGGAGGAATCGGATTCTAATCCTAGCAGAAAATCTAAGAATTGAAATAATGGGGGGCATTTAGGACCCCTTCCCGCTCGTTTTGTGTCCTTCACGGGAATTTATTCTCCCTTTCTGTGCTGTGTCACCGTCGCGTTCTGACTGGAACTGCTTCCCCTTCGTTCCTCTTGGCTCATACCGGGGTTGGAATCAGACAAATACAAATTTTTAATGAACTCAGGCGTAGTTCCCACAGGTTGCATCGGCTCAGAGGTTTGGTTTTTAGGCGTTAGCTGCAAGGCCTCCATGATGAAGGATACGCTAAAAATAGATTGTATATCAAAGAGATATTAGGCTTCAAGTTCAGTATTTATCGACTTCCTCTGCTGCCGCTTCCGCTTTCTGCACAAAATTTCGTAAGAAAATCAAGCCAAATATTTGTTGAGGAGTGACATCAGCGTCTAAGTTTACAAGGCCCAAGCTACTACTTCTCGGGAATAACGTTGCTCAGGCAGTTCTAGTGAAAAAATTCACTTAAGTTCGATGGATACCCATTAAGAAAGGCTTGTGGCAGCATGGAGTTGTCGGCTGAGGGACCGCTTCTGGGGAAACAGTAATATGCCAGCCAAGTGCCGATCAAATACTCAGGGATCTGACTGGCGAAACGTTTAAAAATGTGATGCAGAGTGAATTTTGTAAATTATTTATTTTTACGGTGCAACTTTGAGTTCTTGCATCTGTGTAGTATATTCCAGCGGACAGAATCACCCCGTTAGATTTTCCGTCTACAGAGTAATTTACAGAAGTACTTTTGCAACACAGAAGGCGCAAAATAATGGCACAGAGGCAAAGAAAAGCAACGAATAGGGAAACAGTTAGCTGTACATTATAATGCCTAACTGTTAAGAAGTCAATGCGATAATCAGAAATTTTAGTCCAAAAATTTGTGAGCCTTGCACCTACCGGCTCCGTAATAACCCACAAAGGAAAGTTGAAACAATTTGACTAAAAAGGATTCAGTAAATTACCAAAGGAGCGGTTCTTTTCAGCAGCCCACTTGCGAAATTACAGGTTCACGATAAAGACTGTCCTTTGAGTAAAGCCTTGTTATTGTATCGTTTAATTTCCCGGCAAAGGCCAGGGCAGATACTACCTAGTTATTTTACAAAAGAAGGAGTGGTGAGGGATCTACGAGTTTTACGTAAAATAATTACGTCCTTTAACCACTCTGTTGAGCAAAAGTATCCTCCCGTAACCACGAGGGAGGATTTTGAAGCTCCGTGCTTTGTTATCTATAGTCCGGCTGACGAAAACGGGAGACCATTGCGACCCCGAAGGATAGCTTATGGCCTGTGCAGTTTTTATAAGATCCGCCTCCCATCTCACAATAAATCGTCATTACCACCACCAACAGCAGCATCAATGAGGACACTCCACGCCGACGTGCAAAACATTAACACCACTGACTCTGTCACTAAAAGTGCAGCCACCATTCCAACCTGTCACCACTGCAACCGCACTTTCTCATCATACTTAGATCTGGCCTGTCACTCATGGATCCAGCGCACAGAAATCGGTGGATCAGTATCTGTAGCTCCTACCTACACCCGTCATACATACCTCATTCGCTTACCATGTCCCTGGGCATTCGGATACCGCAAGGCTCTAATTGACCATACGAATATCCATGACGGCGGAATTCACCACGACAAGCCTACCTCCTCCAGCTGAAAACTCCCCTACTACCAACGCTACCAACCGCCGTCACCACCATCACGAATAGCACCGCCGAACCGCCAACTCACTTGCCACAGCTCGATGCTCTCCTTGCTGCAGCCTCAAGTTTCTAGTACGCATCGGCCTGGTTGAACACTCCGAATCCATGGTACTGAGACTTTTGCACCAGCGTCAGGAACACCAGTCGCCCATCCTTCACCTACACTCACTGCCCAAGGGTATTCTATCACTGTATGAGTCTATTCGACCGAATACCCTTTCGTGAAACCCTGCGGTAAAACATCGTGGACCTTACCCCACCAACCTACACACACGAACCCGCCTCACGGAACCGGACGTACAAACAGAACATACACCATTCACGTCAGTAATAGTCATCTTCTTTTAGTACAACACAGTGCCTGACGAAGTCGCATGTAATATACGTAGGCGGGCTGTTTAACTTTGTTTGCCACTGCTTCCGATCCTGTCACGGTCTTCCCAACTCTAACCCGACAATGAACTCGGGTGGGTGAGAGAGGAGAGGTGCAGTGGATGCTGCGCAAGTCTACCACCACTGTCAACTAATTCACGCGTAAGTCACCGTCCCGGCGCCCACCATGTCGCGGGACACGATTTGGACTTCGTCATTCGTGACGGCCGAAGTGTCACTACGAGACGTTCGTGTATTCTTCATCTAAGGATCGCCATCTCAAAAACCCTTTAAAAATCCCTTGGGCATTCCTTAAGGAGTCTTTTTATAAGAGATCTTAAGCTTCCACGCCATTAAGAGGTTGCCCAAGGGAATTGAAGAAGCATCGAACAGTTGGGGTTGTCGAGCTTTACGTTTCAGACAATTCCACTTTCTTGGGTTTACAGACTGGAAAATTAGTCAAACACCTTCCATGTTAGGCGTTTGGAGACGATTTCATGTCTCTTTCTCGCTTGAACATATAGACCGAGTGTGTCACGGCTTATGTACAGTCACTAGCCTATATTCTCCAGTAGTCTCCTATTTGGTTTGAAGTCAACATTTCGGAAGGGGGACAGCGGTTTTACGTCTGCTGTTCGTTTATGTAGCTTCCTGTACACGGGTCCATCCTCCGCTATTGAACCAATTAGTAAGTCATCTTTACTGCAGTACAACGTTAAATGGCAAGTCCTACTTCCAGATGCAGAATCGTGGGGGCATATCGTTATGCTATTGAAGATCGGTCAAAGGAATATGGATCTTCCCTACGATAGGGGGTACCTATTCCGCATCTTAACATTAATCCTAACCCACATGACCCTGACCGTAATCATCATATTTCTAACTCTCCCCACCCCGGCATTAACCCTCTACTTGGAATCTGTTGCAAAATCACCTGTAATAGGCAATCTCTATTCTCATGCCCTATCTGGAAGAGTTCTGGAATATGGAATTTAACAGAGGTGGATGACCAAATGCGGCAGTGGAAATGAAGGATGTATCTTGGAGTGGTAAAAGGTATGGATCAGAGGAAATAATTCACTAAATCATCACCTGAATGCTAACGCTTAATAGTGGAACCAAGGACTAGAGGAAAAGGTGTCTTCATGGCTATTGTTCACCTTTCAGCATAGCAAGGCTCCACAAAGTGGAGTACGCACTGTTTCAAAATTTAAAGCATATATCAACGTCAAACCACTCAAGTGTCCCAGTCGATTTCAGAACCTTCACTATCATAAATAGGCCTGTGATTGGCTTAGTTGGTAGAATTACAATTCAAAGCGCAGCGTACTCTATTAGGTCTCAGCGATGACCCACGAAATACTAGATCATCAACTCATACAAGTAACATCTGTAGCTCTATCCAAGTCGTGCTGAGGACTTTTGCACGTGTAGGCCAAAGATGAATTGACCTTCTGATGAAATATTCTTCCCATACACTAAAGGTGACACTGTGTGACTGCATATTTTCAGTTCCTGGACTAAGTCTCAGCGATGACGGCTACAACATAATACACTGTCTGCATAAATGATTGACAGAAACTGCCAAACTAGCGCCTAGACGATGCAATTTCTACTGTCACAGAAAATACGCTATTCCAATGAAGTCTGCCCACTCTCCTCCGTGTTTTGAAAAACAAAGAAAACAACTACACTCTTTCGTTTAGCAGGCAGCTCATTCCCTTACAAATTTAAAGTTAATTCAGATTGTCAAACTTGAAAGATCTGGGTTGATTATTTGAAGAAGAGCAAGAACAAGAACAAGAAGAAGAAGAAGAAGAAAAAGAAGAAGAAGAAGAAGAAAAAGAAGAAGAAGAAGAAGAAGAAGAAGAAGAAGAAGAAAAAGAAGAAGAAGAACGAGAAGAAGAAGAAGAAGAAGAAGAAGAAGAAGAAGACGACGACGACGACGACGAAGACGACGACGAAGAAGAAGAAGAAAAAAAGAAAAAGAAGAGCTCTCCAGAACAGGTTTATTTGAATGCTGACGTTTCAAAGACCTTGGTCGGCTCTCCATTGTCAAAGCGTAAAATCTACTTAATCGATCAGAAATCCCAAGTGACATGTTGTGTTGGTCGGCCACATGCTGATCGATTTTTCTCTCCTTTCGCTGCCTCGGCCTCTTGGGGGATGGTTGACGGACGTTTTGTCTGCATGCTTTGTGGTTCATCACTCCGGACGGTCGGTCTGGCGGTTCCTGTTCTTGCTCACTGAGTAAACTCGCCGTCAGGCTATCTCCGTACGGCCTTTTAAGTCCGGTGTGGTTGTTTGGTCCTGAGCTCTACTATTGTGATGACGTAGGACTGTAAGCTGCAGGAAGGTCCAGATGCCTGTTACTAGAGTGGGCATCGGGGAACCACGTCTCAAGAGTTAGCCGTTCGGCTTTTTTGTTGCCCCGGCCTAAGATAGCTCTCTTGAGATCAAAAGTAAGCGCAGTTTCTCCAGCGTGTGTTGCTAGTTGAGAGTTAGGGTCTAACCTCCGAGTGGCCGACTCGTGCTCTTGTAGGAGAGTTTGCAATTTTTCCCCGGTTTCTCCCACATATTTGCAGTCGCCCTCATGGCAATTTATTGTGTAGATGACTGCTGAGGTTTCAGTGGGTGTCAATGGGTCCTGAGGTTGCATCAGACGGCCTCGCATTGTTGCTTTGGTCGCTGGGCTATGCCTACTCTGGTGGGTTGTAACAGTCGCGAGAACACTTCAGAGGCCCCTTTAACGTAAGGAACGGCCTTCCAGACTTGCGGATTTGATTCAATTGAAACGGCATAAACCAAGCATCACGTTGAAGGAGTTTATATATAAGCGAACACTGTGAAAGGAACACATACCCATCCGTTTTCAGTGGCTCTGGTAATGCCTTTGTAAATCCTGTCTTCCCGACGAGCCAGTAGGATTCAACGTCACCCTTGCCCTTCAAATGTACCCTGCCACGAAATTCGAGTTCGTAACCAGTAAGTTCGTCCAGGACGACTTTTGTATATGGACTCACATGGATGCGGAAAGCTGCAATTAAAACAAAGTGCACGCATTTGCCGGAACAGAACAAAAAATATTCAAGACTCAATACTCTCTGCAAGGTCTTTTATTTTGCAAACCTTCGCTGGTAGATTCCATTCTCGAGGCAGTGTTCACAGTGTCGCCGAATAAACAATAACGAGGCATTTTTAATCCAACGACGCCTGCCATGCATGGACCTGCGGGCATGAAAAGGATTTCTTAATGTTGGTCTATTTCAGAGTTTGTTAGGGAAGACATGATAGGGATTATTGTAAGGTAAATCGTATGTTGTTTTACTTCAAAAAGTAAGGAGGGACTCGGAATTTAAAAAAGGGCTTGCTAACACACTGAGCTTTGCCGAAGGTAGTCAGCGCTTATATGAACATAAGTCGTTTCAATGATAATCCATTAAAGGATTAAAACTGTAGAAAGACGCGAAAATTATTCAGTGAATAAAAACCAGATAGTGGCTCTGAGGTACAGATCAACGACATGTTCTGCCTTGGTTTAAAAGTTTCATGAATAAATTGGCCACGCTCACCTTTATAGCAATTTCAAAATCGCATAAAGTAGTTAATCAGTTCAACAAACCGTTCACAGCATTTCTGATAACTTTATACTTACTTAATTAGATAAACTTAAAACTGCGAAGTACAGGACATCAATTTAGAGTGCTAATGCTCTGATTTTTTCGAATAGAAATGCTCAAAGGTCCTTATAGAAAACATAGAGGAGACACGGAGGCTATCATTCCTCCGACGGAACTACCCGTTCAAATGTGTTTGTTACTTGCAGTAAAGATACCTCTCACTTATGAACCCAGCGTACGTAAAGTCAGCTTTCAATAGAGGACTCTTTAAGTACAAAAACGAAAGGTTTACTTGTCTGATCTTTCTACTTATGAAATGTCGAACCCTTCAATACCATGGCAGGTTCTTGCAACATAACTATACACCGCCTCATGAAATTGTGTAAATTATAATCGGGCATCTGCTACGTACCAGAATGCATGCCTATCCGTAGTAATATTGGAATATTCGGCATGTGTTGGACGACAAAGGAACTGCTGATACTCAGGAGTTCCAAAGCCATGGTTGCAATCTCGCCCGCATGACGCTTGCCATTGGGTGTGGGCAGTCCCGAACACACCATATAAGCATCACCGATGGTTTCTACCTGAAACGAATGAAAATAAAGTGCACTATAAATGGGCATTATCAGGTGTACAAGAGGCATGTGTGCTTGAAATCCGCACTAAACCACTTTTCTAGTTCCCGATCACGAGTTAATCGCATCTGATCACGGTCGTTTGGAGCGGCTGGGATGAAGTATTACTGTGAGATATGGTATACCGAGTTGACCCATCTGCATGCCGAGGAATGTTTGTCACAGTTTTTTTTTGTGTCGCCAATGTATGAGGTTCAGAAGTATTTAAATAAACTTTCTTAGGTCCTGTGTGGTGTGAATGACTGAGAAAGGTTGACGTAACTGCGACATTCACCGGACTTCTGTACAAATTAAATGATTTTTTTGGAACATGATCTATCCAATGTATTTGGTTTCTAGCTCTTTATACAATTCATTGCTCCATGTCCAACCGTAGAAAGGAATACGGAGCTAGGTTAAGGGCTTAGAAAAGTGAACTAAGAGATACCAAGTGCGTATTCACTTTTTAAATGCGTCTCTCGCGACCTAACTTCACCTTCTGCCTCGACGGTTTCAACAGCCTAACGTGTTTTTAATTTAGATTCTTACATTTGCTGGTATTTGAGTCATCAATCGTTAGAAGAATCTTAAGGCCAGTTAAGAAAGAAGCAGTGGCACACTTCAAAACTTATTACCTTATAAACGTCGAATTTGGCGATACACGCATCAAAGGCGATGTACAGACTATTGAGAAGAGTTACGATTTCTATAGGTGTGGATTTGGCTGATATGAGAGCGAAACCAACGATATCGCTAAAGTAGATTGTGGTTTCGTCGAAGGCTTCCGGTACCACCTCGTTTCCAGCCACCAGAGCCTGCGCTACAGAGCTTTATGGGGAAAATAGCAAAGAAAGCATGTCAGAGTCGCAATAGTATCAACAGTGTAATAGATATGAAGGCGCAGTTTCCGTCAAAAATTTGCAACTGACGTGCGAGGAGACCGAAGAACTGAAACCAAGGCTTGAATTATCCCTGTAATAGTTGTTCCTTTCTGTGTAAATCTTTTTGACTCTTGAGTAATTTGTTAACTTATTTTATGTCTACAGTGAACGGAGCCCCTTTTTTCCGATATTTTGAATCTATGCTTTCAAAATAAAGCACATTCCTTTCTCTCTCTCTCTCTCTGTGTAAAGGAACTCCTACTTTACTGTACGACGAAAAAACCAGCAAGCCCTCGTGAATAGCGTAACGTGGTTTTCTGTCGAAAACGTTAACGGCATATGCTTCTACGATTTATGTATCTTAAAATATCTTGCGTGAAGTACTTAACTCACATCAGAAGAGAAAATTGTTTTTCTTGTTTAGCAGACATCTCAGTCTCACAAGTCAATAAACTGGAAAAAGTTGATACTTGACCAAACTCATTATTTTGGAATAAAAGTGGTGACCTCTGATTGTTTATCGGAATCTGTCCTAAGCTTACTGAGTTGTGTGCTCAAATTCAGTTAGTTCTGCTGATCAGTCAGAGGCGCATCGTTCATTAAATCTGTAATGCACATGTACCTATGAGATAACGTCAGTGTAATGTCAGAACTATGCATATTAGACAGGCAGCACTTACAAGCATACATTATTTATAAATGTACATCTGAGCAGCTAAGGAATACTCCATGCAATGAGATAAGTCGGGTATGCAACAAAAAAGTTCACTTTATATTCCAGGAACGTCTCATGGGAAGATATGGGTCTCATACCTGGGCAACATCTTTGCAATAAGCATTTCTGTTTTTGCCTGCTCCTCGCGCAACTCCGCGGTCCTCTGACTAACCTGGTCTTCCAGGTCGGCCGAGTACTTGTCCATTGTGTTAAGCATTCGATCGACGATGTTTAATTTCCTAGGAAAAAAGCAACAGTAACTGCACCCCATGCTCATTAAAAGGAAGAGCTGGGAACCACACACAAACAGCTTTCTTATGTACCTAGGTTTCCTTGAGCCTCATAGGACATGGCATGATAAGTTATCTACAATTATGCAATGTGCTTTATGAATGCAGTAAAATAATGAGACATCAGCGAGGCCCATATGAAGTGTTCTTAAATAAAAAGGGATTTTGTTAGAATTAAAGTTGTTTTTCGTTTTAAACTGTTGGATTGGCATAGCCCAATTCGAGGGTGAAGTAGGTATTTTGGTCGCCAGAAGTTCATATGTTTGTATACTTTGAATTGGCTTGACCATCTGAGTTGGCTTCGAAAATACAGATATGTAAAAGTTGAGCAGGATAAACTACACTCTCACGCTTCGCACTATGACAAGTTTTGTTTCTTAAAGGGCGAGTTTCAGATGTATTGCCTAAGCATTGAAAACAGACATTTCCGAACCAGAAGA